TGTTTGTAGAAAGTGGGATCTCACTGGCACCGGCCAGGGAGTCTAGGACACTGTGCATCCTATCCTGAACAGATGTTTACATTAGGTCAATAAGAAAGGCAAACCTATACTTTGTAAACACCTAAAACTACAACAGTATGTGTATTTTTCACATCTTTAATCCATCTAGAACAACCTGTCTTCAAGACTGTAAATTTCTTTTACAATGGGCAACTTGAACATATAGCACATAACTCAATTTAACTATTCCGTGGTAATACAGTTATTTGGTTGTTGCCTTATAAATGACACATCAGGAGCAGCTTATTCTGTTCCCTGGTCAGGGCAGCCTGGAACAAGTTCACCTTGTATTTGATTGTCAGAGGAATCCCTGTCCTGGGATGAACCAGCAAAATTGTTTTATGGACAGAGTAATGTTCCATTCATGTGAACATATGCAGCGGTTAGGCAGTAATTTTGTGTCATCCTAGCTCTAGAGATGGGAGTAAAGAGAGCTGTAAAGAAGATGGTTTTTGTGTTAGACTTTTTAATCTCAGTTAATTGATTGCCAATTTATCTGAGGTGGTTAATAGGTTTGGAGAAGCCGATGGGATGTTTGTCTCAGGACATAATTATTTCTGTCTTTCCTTCCTCATGCTGAAACTAAATGTTGGTTAATTGGCACTGATTGATTAAGGTAGAACAAAGCAAAATGTCCTCTGAATGTTTGAGTCTTGTCTTTTCTACAAAACATGGGAGTACTTCTAGCCTGAGACAAAATCCTACTGCAGACAATGGTTTCTGTTCAGTACAGTGAGCTTTGACTGTATTCTCAGTGTCTGTTGTCTCTATCTAGCCTGACAGCTGTTCTGCAATCAGACCTAAAGGAGACAAGAAATAGGTAGGTTTTGCCAAGATATAGCTAACGGTACTGAATACTGTGCATTTGAACTGCCATGGACCTTGCCTAACTACATTGTGGGAAAAGTTATAGCAATGGTCCCCAGGAGGGTTTTGCAGTGAGGTTAGTTATTTCACTATGAAAACAAACTGACAAGCCTTGATGTGGGGGTGAGGACATAGCAGCTCTGCACTTTGGTCACTTGAATTGCCTTATCTGAGGATGTTCATTATGGTTCGTGCCCTCAGATTGCCATCCCATCTCGCTTCAGGAAGTCTGTGTGAATACCACAGGGGTACCTTAGCTGTCAGGTGGTTTGTGCATTGAAGAGATTTGAAACTGATACTGATTTGTCTCAAATAAATGGAAAACAACAGTATCTTAAACCCTTGCAAGTACAGCTGCCCTGGGTCATGTGGGAATGAGCTAAAAGTGCCCAATTTCTATTGATCTCACTAAAGTTATTGTAAAGACAAGTCGATGTACTCCACTGCTGCTGTGGAAAGATAAAGGGTCTGATCCTTCTCCCTCCTACATGGCTGTTACTTTTGTGTAACTCCACTAATTTCTGTTGAACAGTTCTTCAGTTTATCCCTGTATGCATAAGAAGAAAACAAAGTTGCACACTTCTGTATCTCATATCCCACCTCGAAAGAGATGGCCTCTGCTTGGTCTGCTAAGGAGAATCAGACTATATAGACTGTGACTCATGACCCTGGGATTTATTCACAGATCTGTCACTGTCCAGGTGATGGGAAGTCAGTTTGCCCTTTAGTTTTGTCACCTGTACGATAAGACTATGTGCTTGTTACTTAAAGGTGACAGGGTATTTGCACATGCAGGGTACATCCACACCTTGTGCCATTATACGAGGTTACTACAGATGTATTAACTTGCCCCAGAGGACTTGCAGAGACGAGAGGTGACAACTTCTACAAGCAGGATATCTGGCATATTGGGAGGGAGAAAGGAATGCTGAGGAAATAAATGTAACTAGTCAGTAGAAATGTGTCTCTACTCACCACACCTCACCTCAGCTTGCAGGGGACTTGGGAGGCTTCACTATTAGAATTGCTGCACAAACGCAATGAAAGAGAGTCTTAAACGGGGTTTATAAAAATTAAGAGAATAATATGTTATTACAATAATTTAACAAATTACTGCCATTGCAAAATTGCTTTTATGTATGGATATTCCAGTTGGGAATAATTACAGTCAGACTATATGTAGCTAACATAAGAAAATCACACTCCCTTTTCCAGTTTATCTTCTTATTGGGTATGAATTTGCTGTATGAATCATCTAATTAGAGCATTTCTATAATAAAAACCTTATTTGATGGAAGAATGCTTTGAAGCAAAGACCAAGTACGATAATAATAATAATGCTCACTGTTTCACCATATTTTGATTTTTTTCAAGTCATAGTATTTGTGAAGGACTAGTGGTCTTGTGAGCTGTAAACTGTGATTCTGCTAAGGTACAAAGTGTTCTCTGAGGGACTACTGAAAGGCATTTTGAGCACATGAAGGGTCTTAAAATGTTTTCCTTTCAAGGAATTTCAACTGTCTCTAAAGTGTTTAAGGGGAGATGAAAGGCTCTGTAATGTACTTTTTCATGCTTTGTGCTGTCCTACAACAGATAAATGCCCTGGGGTGGAGCATTTCAGATATTTCTAAATACCCAACTGTATCTAATTATTATCCTGGAATCATTTCACGTTTGAGGAGTTTACATTGGAGAGGATGCGTCTGCTTGTCACTGTTGCATTGCCAGGTCCAAATTATAATAATGCCTTTCATCCAGAGTTAAAAATAACCACTTCTCAGATGGTTTTTGCTTAGAAGTCTCAACGGGGCAGGAGAGCACATGCAGTAGAGCAGCATGTAGACCTTTTAACACGAGACTATTCAGAAGCTGGGAAGCTGTTGACATCCCACGTATGCTTGGGCATTACCTGTGTGCTGAGACCTGGATGTTATAATACCTTGGGCAGAAATGGGACTGTGAGGCACAGTAAAACCTCCGTCAGGACAATAGTATCCCTTGCAGCTGGATTTCATAGACTTGTTGAAATGTTGGTGGGAAGGGACCTCTGAATGTCTCTGATCTAGCCTCTACCCCAGAACAGGGCTGGAGCCTACACTAGTCAACCATGGCTCTGTCTGCTTGACTCTTGAATACCTCCAAGGGTGGAGATGCTGCAGCATGTCTGGTAACCTGTTCCAGTCCTCTGCTGAAGTTTCTCCCAGCATTCAGTCTAACCCTCACATCACAGCTTGTGGCCATTGCCTCATTCACTGCTGCTATTGAGAAGGGTTTGGCTCCATCATCTTTTTAACTGCCTTTGTGTAGCTGGTGGGCTGCTATTACATCCAGTCTTAACTTCAGCAGCAGCAGCAAGCCTGATGCCCTCAAGCTCTCCTCACAGAAGTGCTCTTGGCCCTGAGGGCAGTTACACCTGCTGGATCCTGTCCAGCTTCTCCACCTCCCTCGAATGGGAGGCACAAACAGGTGCAGTCTCACCAGCACCAGGCAGAAGGGATGATACCTTCCCTTGATCTGCATTATAAGGAATGATTTGCCTCATTTGTGGTGAGAGTGAACTGTTGCCTCCTATTTAAGCTGGCTTTCAAGATAACCCCCTGGTCCTTCTCAGTAGGGCTGCTCTTTAACCAGTTGATTCCCAGCCTAAACTGGTACTTGGCGTTACTCCAGTTCAGTGCAGTATGTCACAAGTCTCTACTAAACTTCATGAGGTTGCTGGCCTCAAGTTTCTGAAGGTCCTGCTGGATTGAAGTACCAGTGCTTGGCATGCCAACTGCCCCACCTAATTTGGTGTTGTCTGCAAATCTGCAGAGGGTGCCTTTTGTTCAGGCTTTTCAGATTCCCTTTCCATGAGGAGAGAGGCCACAGCCTTGGTCTGTGGGATCTATGGACTTGACATCTTTTGGCACCTCTTCCTGTGCTTCCACACACCCGCCTCTCTGGCAAAGCTGGTTTAAGCAGTGCCTGATGCAGCTTGGCCTCCGGCTGCTCCATCCCTCCCTTTCCACTCTCTGGTTGTGCTGACACCAGTGGTTGGGGCAGGGTGGCAAACCAGACTGGTGGGTGGATGTGGGATACATGCAGCCATCACAGATATTTTTGTCCTGGCTACATTTTTTTTTGCTGTGAAGCAAAGCTTCCTCAGACAGTAGAGCTGTGAGCAGAGCTGGTCTGCTTTTGGCCCTGGGTGATGATGCTTCATCTCCGGCCACTGGTCCCCACAAAGCACTGGCCAGTGTTGGTCCTTCTTTCTTTGCTGGCCCAGTGTGTGTGAGGACACGATGTATTTACACCAATCTAGCCAGGACAGCTGAGGCTGCTAGGAGCAGGCAGCACACACAGTGACCTCAGGCAGAGGGACCGTAACTAACCCCCAAGAGGTGTACTGGGCACAGCTGTTTGTGGAGTCAGTGTCTGCTGCTGGCCAAAAAGTACATGGTTTTTTTCTGTGTTTTTTTTTTTTTTTTTTTTTTTAAATTTTTTTTTTTTTTTTTTTAAAGTCATGTGCTGCTTTTCTACTAGCACTGTCAGCTCCGGAGGCCTCTCTTGCAGCAATGTAAACACAGCTACTGTGTATGCTCCATCGGAGAGGGTGCCCGTCCCTGTAATTGCAGCCTGTAGCTCACAATGAGACAGCCAATGCCAATAGCTGTATAATGAGCGTTTAAAAAGTGCTTATTTTGTCATCCAATCATCGATCATCCTCATTGTGTAAATATTTTTTGTTTCCACAACAAAATTACTTTAAAAGAAATGTTCACCAGGAAGAAGAAAAATGTTGATTCTGCTGATAAAATCAGGACAGTCATAATGATTAATAGGACATTGGGGAAAGCTTGCAAATGAGGCTTAATTTCTGTGGCAAAAAGAGCTTGTGGATTCATCAGGGCTTGGTTGTGCTTGGAAATTCAGTGGCAGCTGGAAATTTGATGGTGACCTCTGATAAATGAGAAAATGGTGAGGATTTTAATGAATGACTTGAATGAGAAAATAAATAAGCCAGTCTGTATGGTATTCTTCCTGATATTTGTTTTGCTATTAAGTTCCGTTACTGCAGTTCTCATTGTGTCATCATGATTGTGTTGACAGCACATCACGACATACAAGCATTGCTGGCCATTCGGCTGACAGGGAAGAGGATACATCGACCTGGACACACAAGGTAGAACAGGAAGATGACTGTAATAAGAAGGCATTTGGAAGCCTTTGGCAAGAACACGTCAGAGATGGTAAAGATAGAAAGGATCCCAGTGAGAGCATCTTCACTATCCTCTGTCAAACTGCCCACAGGACCTAAATTAATTCCTTTCTGATCAATTTTCTTTTTTTTAGGAGACAAATTTAGTCTTGATTTATGTTTAGGAAATGGGGATGGGGAAAGGGAACTCTAAACCACAAACTTTGGGAAAGTTGCACTCATGGTTTATTACTTTCCTTGCTAAATTATGCAGTCTGTTCTTAGCCTCGGTTTATTAATTTGCAGTGTTTATTCCCTGGCTCCTGTATCTTTGCTGTGAGGTTTAGGAGCATTTGTTATGAAATGTTGATTTCCCAAGTGAGTATTTATAGACTATGTTTGAGTCACCTGTTAATCTTTCTCTGGGTAAATAAGCTCATTTTTCTCACCATAAGGCACATTTTGAAGACCTTGTTCAGTCTCAGTTTTTCCAGTTCAGCATCCTCCTCAGCTGTAACACCAAGCCTACATTCATACTCCTGGTGGGAGCCATTGCTCTGAACTGCTGACTTCCAGGTATGCCCTGAGGTGCGGTTCAGCAGAGGGCAATGGGAACCCATGGAGGATGTTTTCCACCTGAAAAGTGGACCTGCACGGGACTGATGAGGATACTTCAGGGCCAGGGAGCTACCTGGGAGAGCATTCACTTGCCACTGGAAACTGTTCCAAACCCTATGAAAGACAAAGCAATGTTTTCCCAGGTTTTAGAACAATAAGGGCTGTATAAAAGCTGATCCCTTATTCATTCAGATCATCACAGTTGATTAAAACCTCGGGTTTTCAGTCTTTTCTAGTTTCTGGTGCCTTCAGTGTTTCCAAGGGAAGGTAGAACAAATTAACCAGTCACAGTACAGCCCCTTTACTTGGTTATCTTGCAGTCTACTTAAACATAGTTCCCCCAAGGATCCCCAAGTCAGAGGCTGGAAACCTGTATGCTAAAATACACACAGAGGCAACACAAAAGGCACCAACGCTGATTTTTTTTTTTTTTTTTTTTTTTTTTTTTTTTTTTTTTTTTTTTTCTTAAAGCATATTCAGTGCTTGGGTGAACATCCCAATAAGTCTTCCCAAGTCTCTGCTGTTCATTTCATATCCCTGCAGTTCATCCAGACAGGCTGTAACTTGATGGCCCACGCATCAGGAGAGAGTTGGAGTAATCCCTGAATAACCTTGACTAATGCCATAATGAGCTAATGGCAGCTTTTAGAGGGTCTTCAATACAGTATAATGTTCAACCTTGATCCTTTAACTAAGTTTATTTTGGGCTTGATGAACACAAAATTGCTTATCTGACCAAGAAGCTCCTGTTAGACTTTTCAGAAACAATTCAGATGTTTGTGGTGGAATCCATAAAGGTATAGAGATGCTTTGTTTCTTTTGAATTTGGTGGGAGTTAAGTGCCTAATTACTTTTGCCATCTGAGCTTTTACTTAGCCATCTCTGCAGTGTTATAATGCTCCCACGCTCATATCCCTTTAGCCTCTTGACTAATGGAAGCACCTTTTTTTCCAGAGGAGAAAGGGAACAGAATATGTGACTATCTCAGACACTTCAGTGTGAAGTCTACTCAGTTGGCTTTAAGTGCTGAGAAGCTGATCTAAACCTCTTGACTTTCCAGGAAAGCAGATGAAAGACATACATGTTCTCAACTCAGTGCTTAGCTGAGTACTGACCAGTGAAGCAGCAGAACAAACTTAATCTTAAACTGAAAGCAGAGATATTAATGCTTGAAGGTTTTTCGGTTTTTGGTTTTTTTTTTGTTTGTTTTGTTTTTGTTTTGTTTGTGGGGTTTTTATGTGTGTGTGTATGTGTGTGTGTGTGTGTGTTGGTTTTTTTTTTTTTAATCAAAAGGACTTACATGCTTAAAAATATTGTTCCTCTTTATGCCAGCTTGAACTCACTGTCACAGTAGTTTTGTGCCCAGGCACAGAAGTCCACAGGAAAAGATACTTATTTTTAAAATACTTTTTCACACAAAAAGTATCCTGAGGTCCCTTCATAACATTACCTCAAGTAGAAAAATCCATCAAACAAAATATTCACTCAATCCCCTTTAATCATATGAGAAAAGAATTTTACCGTGGCCAATTGAATAAACATCTAAAAAGAGAGATGAAGAGCAATCAGCACAGTAGAGGGAAAGAAATTACTTTCATCTGAGGGAGAGTAGGAGAGCAAAGGGAGGTTTGGGTGAGAAAGCTGCGATGGACAAGATTTCTTCTCTGAGGGGCTGTGTTAGGGGAAGAGGAAGAGCAGATGCTGGGCGATCAAGGGAGTCCCAGAGGGAAGCAGGGGAGGACTTGGTCTGTATGATGTGGTGGATTTTCAAGATCAGGACAGGGTATTTGATGCTGTGATGCAAACTTCCGTGCTGGGGGGAAGAGCAGGAATTAGACAGAAGAGGGCTGAGATTTCTTTCAGGAGAGGTAGACAAAGAACAAAGATGTCTTTTTTTTTTTTTTTTTTTTTTTTTTTTTTTTTTTTTTCCACATCAGATTTGGCTAAGAAAGTGATGGGAGGGACAGGAAGATTTAGAGGACAGGGCTGCTGGCAGAGTCTCTGTAAAATTAACTACTAGATCTCACCTTATTTTCTACATTCAGCAAGAGTCCAGAGAGGAAACAAATGGGAATATTTCAAAGTCATTTTCCCTACAACATTCTTACCTTCTAGAAAGATAGTAAAGAAAATATTGACATGCCAGACTTGGTAGGATACTTTGTTTCATACTTTGGGGTCATTTACTCTTACACTGGACTTCATATATCTTCAGTTGGTGCAGCAAAGTGCTCAAACTGCGGAAGTATATTTACTGTTTTAGAGAAGTCCTTAGACACCTCAGCAAACTTTGCCTAGTTTCTCTGTCGAAGAGCCAACAGACTGCTCAGTCAAGGTCTGATCAGTTGCTGCTGCTCCAGTGTTGTGTGAGCAGAGCTAAATATTTTCAAGAGTATGAAAAAGTGACAAGATGACTCCAGCCATTTTGCTTTGAAAGAACCAGGTGTTTGTCTAGCTGCATAGTAACATAGAAACTTCCTTAAAGGCAAATTTGTATGTGCTACTTCTTAGTCTGAAACTGAGACAAGCAGATATAAATGATGTATCTTAAAAACTTTAAGACTTATAGTACCTCTGTGAAGCTACTTAGTTACCCTTCACGTTACCTTGTTCTTCACCCCATGATACATCAGGAGACGAACTGCCAATGCCTATAGTTATACTATATATATATATATATATATATATATATATATAGTTATTCTCCCTCTGGCTTGACCTAATCATGATCTATAGGAGCTATGACAATATCAATATTTTCTAATCATAGCAGGATAATAGAAATTTAATCTGACAGTGAAGTGGCACTATCTCAGCTGTGAAATACAGCAGTACATAATGATATATGCTGACAGCTACCCTGAGTAAACTGCCTTTTTCTCAGCTGAAATTTGACCAGGAAGCTTGTGGGTAGGAAGCCTTCTGCAAAACTGTTTGGAAGATTTTTAATGTTTCAAAGCGATTAAGGATCTGTTTCCA